CCCCCAAAAGGGGGCGGGGAGAAGCCACAGTGCTGGGGAAACTGAGGCCGTGCTGGCCTGGGGCAAGCTCCCAGCACACCTTTGGTTCCTCCATCCCTCCCCGCTGGGCTCAAACCCTAAATTTCAATTCAACCCCTCAACCAGTCCATTCTGTTTTCCCTTTGCAGAAATAATTACCAATATGGTGAACCCGTTTCATTCCCAAGTGACTAAATTACTTAGCAACTTAATCACCTAAAGACTAGTTTTCTGTTAGTATTATTTTTAGGCAATTTGGGATAACCAGTCACGTGAGTAATTGGGTGTCACCTTATTGAATTAACGGGGATGCGTGGTCATCGTGGGGCACAGTGGCACAAAGGCTTCTCTGGCTTCCTCCACATCAAAGTCACCCAAAAGCTTATTCCCAGGATTTTCCTGCCTCCTTTTTAATACGGATTTTCCAGGACTGGCTTGATTTTTCAAGACAGCCACATGAGGGAAAGCATGTGGGAGAAAAAGGGGAATTTAACTGAACTTGAATCGCCACTTTCTTGCCCCAGAACAGGTTGTTTTAGGCAACAGCAGAGTTTTCCCACAAGCAATTTTTACAGTTTATGGCAGAAATCACCCTCTTTTCTCCGGTTCCCACCATATCAAGGACCACCAAGCCCCAGGAGCAAGGTCAGCATCCCCCATCTCTTCAATCCCTGTGCTATGGGGATGAGTGGATGGGACCAAGGCCTCCCAGCTAAGCCGGTAACAGAGGACAAGGACAGCCATGTCTGCCTGCTGGAGCCAGTCTCTTGCTGTTAATATTCCCCTCAAATGAGCCAAACTCAGAGATGCTGCAGCCTCACCAGACAAGGAAACCTGCTCATGCCTCTGCTGTAGAGGAATCACCTCCTTTCCCCATGATCCAATGGCTCTGTTCTCCCCAGACAAAAAAAAAAAAAAAAAGAAAGGAGGGGGGGATTATAAAAGATTAGAAGGAAATAATCAAAATGACTGTTCTCCATGTCCACTTGATCACTGGGAAAGCTGCAGACGAGAGACCCCACTTAAGTGCTATGAGCATGCCAGGTCTCAGCCGTCCTTCGGGATGGACCACAGGGAAGCTGGGGTGTCTCCTGCTCCATCTCTTCACCCCCATGCCCGGGTGGGTTGTCCTGGATTTACCTCCCTCCTGCCCTGGGCAGCTGGGAAGGGAAACTGAGGCACGGGAGACTTTCCCCTGGCTGGCACAGGGTACACTCACACTGGGACCTGAGCAAATCCCACCCAGCGTTTTGGCATCTGTCAGCAGATGGAGGAGCTGGCAGTCAAGGAAACCTGGCGAGCATCCTCCTCCACATAACTCATCTGAACTCTCCAGCCAGAGCCGGTAAGCGCTTTCAGCAGGGGAACATGTTTGAAACTTCATTTATCCACTGACCTAAATGGAAGACACTTTATTACTTTTATCTCTGCATCTCCACTGAAATACTCACCGGCTGGGTGTAAACAAGCCCTTAAGTTCTTCTCTGCCAGCTGCCGACAGCCATGGAGGTCAGCCACTGCAATTGATGCTTTCAAAATCTCCTGTTCAACCATCCACTTCTTGATTTTAAGCGTGGGGTGATTTCCAAGCCAGGGAAAGGTGGATTTGTCATCCCAGCCGCAGCCCCAGCCATTGAACCTGCCAAACCCTGCTGCCCCACAAAAATCCCCCCAGCCTTTATATTCCTGGCTTCCCAGGGCAGGTATAGGAGAAGGGAGAGCATGAAGTGATGCTATATATCCTCCAGCAGTCAGCAGCAGAGGGATTTTTTGGATCATCTTGTCCCTAAAAGTCTTTTTCCTCTGTGAATTTGTCTGGTGATGGCATCCCATGGGAAGGAGCTCCAAAGCCGAATGAGGGTTGTGCAAGCTCTTTCCTTCCTAGAGCTGGTCTTGAGGCAGGAAGGCAAGAAAAGGAGGGCGGGGGGGGGGAAGATGATCTGGGGTAATAAAACTAAAAGCCAAACTTGGGATGAGGTGGCTCCTCTCCTCCTTTCTCCCCAACCTGGGCAACACCACAAATCATGCAAAATTCAAGAGCAATTACATGGAAAAACCTATGGGATGGAGCAGGGAGGTCCCAGCCCTGCCACCACCTTGCCTGGGCTTGGCCAGCTCCTTCCCCACCCCACGCTTGACCCAGAGATAGCTGGGGAGGGTCTGCAAGGGGTGGTGGTCCTCCAAAGACATGCTCCCCTAACTTGCTTTATGGCTTCCCAGTATTTTTGAACCCTCGCAGCACTCCTTGCTTTCTACGCTGACATTCCTCTATCACATTTAGAAATTAAAGGTGATTTTCTTTTCCCCCTGTGTTCTTAACGGAGCTTATAATTAACTCGCTTCTGATTTGCATCCCTGTTTACATGCCAGCCTCATCAGAGATGTCAGCAGAGTTCTTCAATAATGTCGTCTCTGGGTTTTTTATAGCCAGTGCAGCTTGGGATGTGAATCCAGGGGGTTTCTTTTCCCGAAGGGTGAGAATCCCACTGTCCCCAGGAGATGCTGTCCCTCAGCATCCAGTCCGTAGGGACATCCACAGGCAGATGAAGCTGGCAGGACCTATGGCTTCACCCAAATTGCTGGCTTCTGGTCCCAGCCCAACCCACGCTGAGCATCCCATCCAGAGCTGCAGGGTTTTAGCTAAAGCCAGCGAAGGAGAAATACAGCTTCTGAGAACTGTCTTGGTAGCTCAAATTAGCCTTCACTGTAGGACCAGCTATCGGGGACATTAAAGGTGACTGGGAGAAACATCCTTTTAATCTGCGTGGCTGCCTGCTCCCAGCACACGTGCAAGAGCGCCTGCGTTTCGCCGGAGGTTTCTCTTAGCTCTTGGAAATTGAATGAAGTTGTCATCACCCTAATCTCAGCGGTTCTGCATGAGGAATGTTCCCTCCCTTATCTCCCCAAAACTCCTGCC